CTGAAAGACTGAGGGTGATCTACTTCACCATTACTAGTGCCCTTCACATATTGATGGAGATGTACAGACCTACAGTCTGATGCATCCATTTGCTGACTCTTCCAGAGTGGTGATATTGGACCTATACAATTAGTTTCACTTGGGGCTGCATTCAATAGAAGGAAAATATACCCAGTAGACCCTGGTCCATTTATATCAGGAAAGCAGTGCTAATAAGGTAAAAAAAAAAAAACAACACCAAAAAAAACCCCACTAAAAACCAAATCACTCAAAGCTACTCGGATTATTTATGAAGTTCACATGGAATCTGCCAAGCACTGAGAGTTTGTGCATTTCTAGAGACAACTGTACTTTCTCAGACTGAAGAAATGCAAAGATATTAACTAATTATTTATGGAATAGCCAATTATTTTGTACTGTGTATCTAAGACCGAACACCATGAAATGCTTATTTAGTTGAGTAAGCAGGACAGTGGAGCAATTCCCTTTGGAAAGGAATGAGGCCAAGTAGTTGGACAGAGAAACACCCTTAACAAGAATAATTCAGTAACATAGACACAATAGTGCTCAATTTACCTAAGCATTACACATCTGACCAGCAAAATATTTCAAGTGCCTGAAAATAACCTTTATGTTGTCACTGGGTTGAAGCAGAGGGCTCTGGAGCTGCAAGTGCTCAGCTCTACAATTTTTAAGAGACAACAGATAGTAGTTCAAGTCAGGAAGTCAAACAAGAAATTATATATTTTTGCCTCCAGAGTGCCCCATGTGCTCTCCTTTCATTGCAGATGCAACACTGCTTTACCTTTCCTGCCATAATATTGATCTGTGTCAGCTTAGATGTGTGACTCCTGGCTGGGCTCAAACATCCAGGTACACAATGGTGACCGTCCTGTAATTTCCATCTTATTTGAAACAAAACAAAATAAAACAAAACAAAACATCCAATTAAATTTCCACCTCATTTGCCGAGTAAACACTATTTGGGAAAGAGCTCTGTATTCAAAATGAGTGTTATATCCTCTTCGGGAGGATATAACTAAATCATGGTTCATGGCTTATTCACTGTGAAAGCCAGAGCGATAGTGCCCACTCTTTCTGACAGACCATTCAGCATTCCATGAAAGCTACCTACTCCAGTTCTTCTTCCATCATGACTTGGTAACCAGGCACAACCGCCTCCACAATGCATGAATATTTTATACTGCAGACATGGTATTCCCACACACACACATCCCACTGTGTCACCAGGATCACATCTAGGGAACACAGCTGGGGAAGACAGCATGGATGGAAGCTGGCTGCTAGAGTGGTTCGTCTGGTCCATGATCCCACTGCCTCAGGAATCAGGGTAGTACAAATTGGACTGCAGCCAGGCAGATTTCTTTCTCGATGGGCTTCATGCAACTTTCTATTAGCTGGCAAGCCTGAACCAGAATCTCAGAGACTGGGTGAAAGGAGACAGAGACAAAAATGCAGAACTCTCCCAGTTCACTGCTACTCTTGAAAGAAATCCAGCTGAAAATCCTAAACCAATTTAATTCAACCCTAAAAGGATTGCTTAATTTTCTCTTGCAGTAAGAACATGTCTTTGAGCAGCAGATGTTAATAACAGTTAGTGCTGCATACTTATGCCAATGTTCTCTGGTTCCTCATTTCATCATTTCAGATGTTCAACATCTTTATCAATATCCTTGATGACAAGACAGAGTGTCTTCTCAGCAAGTCTGCTGATGATATGAAACTGTGAGCTTTGGCTTGATACACCTGAAGTCTGTGCGGCCATTCAGCGAGACTTGGACAGACTAGGGAGCTGGGCAAAGAGAAACCTAATGAGGTTCAACAAGAACACGTGCAGAGTCCTGCACTGGAAAGGAGTAATAAAATGCATCAGTACAGGTTAGCAGGTTATCTACTAGAGAGCAGCTCTGTGGAGAAGGACCTTGGAGTCCCAGTGGACAGTAAGTTGTCCATGGGACAGCAATGTGCCCTTGGCCAAGAAGGCCAATGGTATCCTGGGGTGTATTAAGAAAAGTGTGTCCAGTAGATCAACGGAGGTTCTCCTCCCCCTATACTCTGCCCTTGTGAGACCTCACCTAGAGTATTGCATCCAGTTCTGGGCTCCTCATTTGAGGGACAGAGATGTACTTCAGAGAGTCCAATGGAGGGCTATGAGGATGATTAAGGGACTAGAACATCTGCCTTATGAGGAAACGCTGAGACAGTTGGGGCTTTTTAGTCTGGAGAGGAGAAGACTGAGAGGGGATCTAATTAATGTGTATAAATATATGAGGGCTGGATGTCAAAAAAGAAGGGACAAGCTCTTTTCACTAGGGGCAATGGATGCAAGCTAGAGCACAGGAAGTTCCACCTCAACATGAGGAGAAACTTCTTAACTATGAGGGTGACAGAGCACTGGAACAGACTCCCCAGGGAGGTTGTGGAGTCTCCTTCTCTGGAGATTTTCAAGTTACATCTGGATGCGTTCCTGTGAAACCTGCCCTAGATTCTGTGATCCTGCTCTGTCAGTGGGGTTGGACTCAATGATCTCCAGTGGTCCCTTCCAAGCCCTAACATCCTGTGACTCTGTGATTGAAATCCATAAAGACATCACAGCAATAAACAGAGATTATTTTCTTTCTACGCCAACTACTGAGATACTGGGAGGATAATTTTCAGACTCTGATTGTGATCTTCCATGTACACTAAGAGATTAGATTTTCGTTTCGTCTCCATACAGGAAGATAAGCAACTGCCGGGAGGGGCATAAAGCAAGACAGTTCTATCTTCGCTGAGAGGCTTAAATACAGGTTCATAGCACACATGTTTTGACGAGAAACTTTATCAGGAATCTTCGCCGAGAAGAAACTAGGACTAAGTGGTTTTAGCACTTGACTACAGGTAAATGAGTATGAGTGGCCAGTATCACTTGAATTGACCCAACTGCTCAGGTGACCATGTTTGTCCTCTGGCTTCTAAAGAAGAGAGAGGTATGAATATGAAAAACCTTTCAAATATGGATTTGAAGAGTCCCCGACTCTAATAATGAAGCACAAATATTCTCTTTTATGTGGATCAAATATTCCATGATAATTTCTAACTATCTGTGTTTGGAGCTACAGAATCTGTCGTCTAAAAATGCAGGACAAATTAGGATCTTACAGTTATCTAATGCATAGTTGAGTGAATCCAGTTACTGGTTCAGTGGCTTTGCCCCAAGCTGCATCTCAACAGCACTGAGGTAAATGAAAACTCTTAAAAGTCACTTCCCAGCTCATCCTTGTGACTAAATGCCATCTGATCACAACAATTACAAGAGAAACATAGTAGACAATTTTCCCATATACGCCTTCTTTAGAAGACTAATCATGTCCCTTAACTGAGAAAGCAACCGAAGTTATAACCATTAAAATTCAATTTCAGTGTCTGTAAGTAATCACGATGTCTTATCAAGACACCTATTTCTATGTTCCATATTGTTGGTGTTGACAACTCAGTATATTCCTGACTAATTAAATAAAATAAAAAATAAAGAAACATTCAACTTCTAGCTTTCATTCTTTACCATGTAGCCTTTTGTCTCAAGCAGACTCTGTAAGAGTATTCCATTTTATTTCTGGCCCAAACAATGTGTCCTCTCCGAGACAACCGGTAATGTGACCATGGAGCACGCGGTGTTACAATGACAAAGCTGCACTTACCAGTTCCTTGCTATTCACCCTCTTTCCATTGGGTGTTGCTATGATATTAAACAGATTCTACTGGGACTCAATGTATGCATACAGAAAGGCATGACGAAGGTTTAAGGTCTCTGCCTATGTTGCTTTGCCCATTGTTCTACCCAGCCTGAGCCTATTGTACTTTGCAAAGTTGGCAGTGTGCACCATTAGCTGGTATTGAAAAAAAAATGTCAGTGGCTACTTTTGAAAGAGAAATACATAAAATGGAGTCTTGCAGCTTGTACTAAAAGTTTTATACTCTTTCATGACGGTGATCTGACTAAAATTTATATACACATTGCAGCATTCAATTACTGTACACAGTAGCTGTGCAGATGGCTCTCTTTTAATTAGAGCATTTAGTGCATCTTCTGCATAAAGAACCAGGCAGTGAATAAGGAAGAATTTAATGGAAGTAATCAAAAAGAAGTAGTTTAATGGAAGTTAAAACGAAGATTGAAAAAAAAAATAATTGTAATAATTTAAGATGCAATTCTTGCAAGGATTTCCTGCTCATTGAACATAGATATTCAGAAAATCTGAGGGAGAAACTTTTGCAGATTTGTGGCCTTGGGGACATCTTGTCAAGCACTAAGAATCAGGCAACTGATCACTAACTTTGCACAGCTGAAGGCCCCACAGATGACAGCTGAAGATTTCAGACGCAAGACACTGGCTGGAACTTGGCTTTTGATGTGGCACAGACACACCAATACATGTATTCTATGGGTACTGTTAGAAAATGGCAAGATTTCATTAATTTAGGGCGAGTACAAATGGTATAAAATCACTTCATATTTGAAATATACTCCATATTAACAGTTGTTAATACTAGTAACACTAACTAGTAACTGTAAAGAATACAAAGTTACTATGAGATGAAATCCTAGCTAGTTTATAACCTGTAATAAATACAGTTGCTGGTCTAGTTATATTCCTAATTTGTTAAAAATCCACTGGCATTTATTTATGTGGCCTTTGCTCTAACTGGAAAAAAATATCACACACATTTATACATTTAAAAGGAAAAAAAAAGCAGTAAGACAGCATGATTTTTATGTGTACTTAAATTTACTGCTGTTAGGCATAGATGGCTTGAATAACACAAATCTGGCCAAAGAAGAAGTTGCTATGGGTCATAAAGGATGAGCTTCAACCAGGGACATCATACGCCCTCTTAGCAGGGCCAGTATTATAAGCCACTCTCAACACAAATGCCAGCATTTCTGTATTCTAAACTCTTCAGTGAATTTTAAATTCCATAATGATTGCTAGACTTACCTGGGAGACCGGGTGGGGTTTTCAGATATTTGCCATTAAAATGTTGAATTACTACTTCACATTTTTCTGTAGACTCCATTCTGGAAAAGAGAAGAGAGTGGAGTGGGGGCAGAGGAAAAACGTGTTACTAGACTGTGATGATGGTGCTCAGTCGGCAAAAACAGAAAAGGAAAGGGAGAAAAAAAGGACAAAGACAGATGCTGAGAAAAATATTCAAGGCTGTTCTTGCTGATTTCTATGGAGAAACTACTTGAGCTCATTATGCTACGAGTGTGACTTCTGAGGAGGACCTGCCACCCTCAAAGCCTCCAGCTGCGCTCCCGGCTGTGTGTGAGCTGCAGCAGCGTCCCTGAACAGTCCCCTTTTGGCTCCGGGGGATCACCCTGAACAAGGATGTTCTTTATGCTCACACGTGCTGCTTAGAAAGGCAAAGGACATGTTTCTAGATTCCTGTGCTCCCAAATTAACTTCAAATGGCAGGAAAAGAAATAATACAGGATTTGGAGAAGAATTCAGAAGATTAAGCAAAAATTATAAAGGATTACAATGTTAAAAAAAAAACCCAACCTGCAAAGATAGCCTGTTCGGCAAACCCAAAGACAGTGTATATATGTCTATTGGAACACAAAGACAAATTTTGGGTGAAGACAGTAACTTATATGTAATACTGGCAGGTGAAATGCCTTACAGTTCATCTCATGTGACCTCAGGATAACTTTCAGCACTGAGACATTCAAGCATTAATGGTGAACTAGTACGTATATTATTGAAGGAATTGTAAAGAACGCAAAGCTACTAGTCAAATCACAAACCACAGTTATATCATATTTGAAAATTCACCATTCTTTCCAGTCTTTTAAATTGGCTGCACACTAGTCCAGGGAACAGCTGACTTTGCTAAAGAGTGAGTATAGAAACTTTAAAGAGAGGAAAGAGAGAAATGGAAAGCTACTAAGCAATCAAAGGAAAAAAAATCATACTGCTTTTTCGATTATTAGAAAAATTTTGTTTTAAAAACATGTTCAGCACTCCTTCGATACACCAATGCCTACTTCCAGGTATGCTCCACAAAATAACTCCACTGACATAAATATTGCTCACTTCTCACTATTCTAGATATTTTTTAATTAATTTATCCACTACCCTTCCTATCACATGGGCTTGGGAACGAGTGGCTCATATTGCAGCAGTTTGTCTCGCAGGGCACAAGTTTGCCAGAGTACAAGGGACCACCCCACCACTACCAGAAAAAAAATCCTAAGATAATTAAAAGTCCTAACTGCCTGATTAATTCTCCGAGCAAGTCAAAGTCTTTTGACAGTTTACTGCAGGTGCAACAATTAAAAATTGTCCCTTCCATGTTGTATCACTGCATATCACATGGGCTGGGTCATTTCTACAAGCACAAAGACAGCAATTTAGATTGTTCACTTTGGCTTCATTCAGATGTAACTAAGCGAATGTCTGCACTGAGCCTTTAGAGACTCTTGTCTCTGAAAGAATAAATGCAATAAAAGTCTGTTTTCTGTAGCTGCAGGCGCTTGGTGTCAAACCATGTTATGTTGCACCACACAGCAGTGACAATTTCATTTTAATACATGGGGTACATTTTAACAAGCCAAAGCAGTCCCTGCAAAGAATGCAATACATAAGCTGCCAAATGAAAGAGACTCAGTGCACTTCATGCATTTTATGTGGGAAGAGAATAAAAGTGAAACCCACAGTGCTCTGGGATAAAAAGGCCATCATTGGAATAGCACTCTGAAAAAGAATGTGCGCATTTTCTTCTCAAGTTTCACAATTAACGGCTCTCAAATGCCATTGCCAGCTATCTGTAATCTGGCACAGGCTTCACTTGAAACCGACACTGGCATTATCGACTCAGTTTGAAAAGGCAAAAGCCGTTTATACACGTTCCCTTCTGATGTGTGGCTGAGTAACAAGTGCATCCATCCCTCATCTCCCGCACCTGAGTCCCCACGGGCTTTCTGCAACATGTGCCTGTGGGGTAGACCTTGCGCCTGGCCGCAGCGAGGCTGGCCAGGCAGCCGCCAACTACTCAGGATGGCATCGACCTCAGGGCCACCCAAGTATGAATGGCAATTTTCTCTTGTCCACAATACCTGGGGTTTTTTTCAGAAAAAAACCTCTGAAACTGTGGGATGATTAGCTCACTGAGTGATCGGGAAGCGGGTATAGAGCAGTTACTGAAATTGTCTGATGTTTGCTATCATAAGATCCTGGGTTTAGTTTAGTTAAAACTCTGATCAACACCAACCACTTAGGTGGCAATGGCTATGGCAAGCACCTGTCCGTGGGCTGAACCTATCTTCACATATCGAATCAGACATTCCTCTTTCTCTTCTTACTTGTTTTAGCCATAAAGATTGACCATATCTGGGAAGAAGTCCTATAAAAATACACTTTTCTCAGATCCACACTAATAAATTCTACCTACTTTTTCTTCAGTAAGCTGCATCTCTCCTCTATTGTAGAATATGTTTGGAAACTCAGAGGAGATGGATAAAATCTTTTTTTTTCATTAATTTATTCTTCTTGTCTGAGATATAAATGTTTCAAAACTGTGGTTAAAACTGGTATTTAGTAAAAATATCATTAAGAAGAATGTTACATGTTAAAAGTCAGCATCCAAGAAACAGAATTTCTACAAAAGAACATCATCAAAGCACAGGTAAGCTTGAGGGCAGAGCACTCAAATCCTTTTTTTTTTTTTAGTTTTAGTTGGGCTTTTTTGTAATTGATGGTACAAAAATGTGGCAAATGACAATACTCTGTAGAAAAGATAAAGATTTTAGACGATTCTAAATATTCTATTGAAAGATGTAGATATTCAACTCTTCTGCTGGAAAGGGGAGGACACCAGCTTCAGATGGTAACAGAAATTTGCTTCTGATCAAATCACTCTCAAAGTATCATTTTCAAATTCCCTTCAACAGTATGAGTTTGGTTCTGATTCTGAAAGGGTCTTAAAGAATAATTCATGTTTAAATGCAATTTAGAGACAACTATAATGCATCTGAGTATTATTTTGAAACAGGAAATGCACTGCAGAAGAAAACAATTATCAAAGCTACGGGCTAGATTCTTATGGTATTTTTACAGATACAGATAATGATCTAAAATAAACTAACAAATCTATAAGAATTTATTTTCACCTGTGTCTATATATTTCTAGATTCTGGAAACTAAGTTGTAACATTTCAAAATACATGATGAGTAACTAGATTGTCTATATGCTATCCAATTGGTAAGGGAGTGAATTTAAAAACCTCTGAAAAGGAAGTCTGTTTTAACAATTTTCTTTTTCCAGACATAGTTGGCAAATTTAAGTTATTTGCATATGATTAGTAAAAGATCAAAGGAACTGGGGGTGCTTAAAGAAGTATCACAGCCAAATAATTTGATGTTCATGTCTTGCTACTAAATATTTATTTTAGATCACATAAAAAATTATTATTATTCTCTCCACAGACCATAGTCGCTCCAAAGTAGTCATTATGTGTTGTTATATGTAATAGGGAATCTTTACCATGAAAAAAAAGAAAAAGGAAAAGGAAATTTCTTAAAACTAAAGCTCTTACACATGTCTATTATAAAGATTGATGCAGTGTCAACAAACAACTTAATAAAACTTACATACAAAGAATAACATGATGATTACATAAATTATTACTTGAGAAATATTCAGTACCAAGTAATTACCAGTTAGTGCTAAAATGTGGGTTTGGTTTACATATACCCTATAGTCACTGTGCTTAATAATAACAATAATAATATAAATGAGAATCAAGACTATAGTTTTTATATCCAGAGTATATATTTAAAGATTAAATTGTTACTACCGATTTATGTGGTAGTACGAATATTCTTGTTTTCTTATAAGAGCAAGGATAATAAATCTTGAGAGGCAATGTTTCTTTACTATTTAAGGCATTTTGCAAAGATGGAAGTAAACAGGTAATAGCAATGTTATATAGGGGAGAACTCCAAAGAACCAAGGCCACAGTTTGAATACACACTGGAGAACTCAATTTCTTTAGCATATCAAAAAGATGACTAGAGGGGCAGTCTGCTATCTGTGCATAAGTACTTTTGCAGGGAGAATAAACTAGGTAGGTACTAAGTAGTTCTTTAATCTTGTTGAGAAAGCTGTGACAAGAACCAGATAAATTTTAAAGAGAAGTTAGGCAGAAAATTTAACGGCAAGGAAGATGACCCACTGATACACATTAAATAGAAAAGAAGTGGGGTTTTTTGTTGTTTTTTTTCCAGTTGATGTCTTCAAATCACTTCTGAAAGTTGTATTTTAGTAAAAGACAAGTATTATCTCAATATTATGTAACTGGGAGCACTTCAACTGCCTGTGAAATAAATGCGGTCAGGGAATGTGATCTTCAGGTGCCAAATACTCTAAAGCTACAGGTTAGGTTTGATTAGTGTAAGGTTTCTGAGTATCTCCTTATGTTCTACTCTTCATGCTTCTATGGCAACATGTTCATAAATTTCTTCAATTTATTTTGCTAATTTACTTTCAGGACATCTAAGACTGATATGGCTGCAACTTGTGTTTTTTCTTCTCTCCTGGAACTGACTTGGGTATCTTATGTCCCCAACTTTTCAGCTGGTAAGAGACTGCTTCAAGATGCCTATGGGTTTTGGTTTTAATCCATTCTACACTGGAAAAACTGTTCCCTTTGTCATTTACAGACTAGGAAGAGACAGTAATTTTGACAAGTTCTCCTCATCACTCAAATTGTATCTTTTTTCCCAACATGAATTGCCTGTCTATTCTTTATGTTCCATCTTGTTTGCATGAACAACAGGAGGTTGTTTACTATCTCAGATGAACATAATAAAAAATCTGCAGAAACCACTGCAGAGGACAGGATAGGATCCTGTTCTCTGGGGATATGGTCCATACTACACCTTGCAGCGTGACCCATTACATCAAGGTGGCGGTTTTCTCTGCAGAGAGCTACTGAGCTCTCCATAGAGAAATCTCTCTGTTTCAGAAGAAAACCAACATAAATAAATGACACCTGCGTTATCTCAAAAACCC